ATATTTGGGTTGGGGTAAAAGAAAGGCCACAGGGCCAGGATTATTGGGCAAAACAGAAGGGTATTTCATATAGATCAGCAGGACTAAATTTTTCTGTCTTGGTTTTATAAGGAATATGCTGTATGTTTGCTTTTTATAACAGTTTTAAATCTACCTCGAAGACTTACGGTACAATGTTTCTCAGCTATTAATTTTCAGCAATCACATTGTATAATTGAAAAACAGCTTTGGGAGCCCTTTCCTATTTTGGGGGAATTTCAAATATCCTAGGAGGTCATCTTTAGCATGGTAAGATGTGGTAATAAGGTAAAATCCTAATCAAAATTTGTAATAGTTGAGAATGCTGAGAATTATATCTAATGTTATTTACAGGTTGCTGGTTTGCAAAATGTTAAACCAATTAATATTTCAAATTAAAATTCTAAATTATTTAGGGTGAAACTAACCATTAAAGAGTAATGGAGCAGTTGTCCGTTTATGTTCTTTTCCTCTTTTGTCCAGTAAAATGCAATATATGGCAATGTATAGTATGTTCTTCTGCCTCTTTTTTTATGGATAAAAATGCATGGTGTGAATAGTCTGATAATAACATGGGAGTAGTTCTCTGTTTCTTGTAAAGTTGGCATTGCCCCTCAAATTTGTCTAATTTTGAGTGCTTTGCAGTCAAAATTATATTGGCCATATGTTTTGGATTGGGTTTCTAATATGTCTTTTTTATGGACCTTGTTCTAAGGTAATCTGAATTAAAATCTAATTTTAACATAATATATGGCCAACTATTTTAAACATAAAGGGAAGAACACATACTCTTTTACAAAAGCATAAATCAAGTTTTTACCGAAGTGATGAAATGGAACACTAATCCTGGAACCTTAAACTCAGCAAAATATATAAATTAGGCTGATAAGCAAATGCATATTGAGGGACAAGGGTTTCTGAGGTTTCATCAGACTTTAATTGTAGAAATTAGATATTTAGAAACAAAAATAAATAGCAATTTGCTGGATGCTGGATTCCCTTCAGATTGCATTCGTCTTTCAGGTTTTACTAAAAGTATCATGATCCTTAGGACGCTATGAGTTACTTAGCTCTATCCAGTGTGATACAACTGAAAATAAAAGAGTTATTTAAACATTGTTTATAGCAGAAGTCCCCAACCGCCGGTCCAGAGATTGGCACCAGTCTGCAGTGCACCAGAAATTGACCCACACAAACGAGTGAAGCCCCATCTGCATATGCGCGGGATTCAGGCAGCATGCCCCCTCTAGTCTGCAGAAAAACCTATCTCCATGGAACCTATCGCTGGCACCCAAAAGGTTGGGGGGGGGGTAGGGTTAGGTTAGGGATTTCTATTTACATCTTATCTGGAGCTTCTCATAAAAAATAACTTTTTCACTGAGCTAACCACCCATACAACACAGATGCATAGACCTCCAAAAATGATTACCAAATTGTATTTTTTAATTTGACAGAAGAGGAAAATTGTTAAACACGTGTGGAACAAAACACATGTGCTTATGTAGATGAAATTAACACATAAAATGTATTACGTGCTCTGGCCTCAAATACGTTTTGGAATGGACCACAAAAGTTACACATTGCTGCTAATTAATCACTTAGAAACGTTTTCATTATGTTAATTTTGTAAAAGTTTCAAAATCTTTGTAAAAGGGCTAAAATATAATAAAATATTATAAGACCATCAGATGGACTATATAAATTATACCAATCAGATCTTTGGGGCTTTTCCTAAACAAAATGTCAAGTGCATATAATAAGGGTCTTCTTTGGAGATTGTTTTGCTCAGGAAAAAGTCATCCCTGTTCCATATTAGAGCTGCAGAACAACATTAGGAATTGAGATTAAATAATGAACGCACTGATATTTTAATTTCATTCCTATAAGAGATTGTGTCTAGCATCTATGCTATAAATTATTTCTGCTTATTTCATTTACAAGGGTTTTTACAACTTGGAATCTAAATAAAGTTTTGGGGATTTCTCTTAAGAGCCCTGAAAATTAGTATCTCATTGCTCAAGCACTTTCATTGGCTTTGCCATTTATATGTCATAGGACAGCTTGAATGAAGAACATAGAACATTAGGTTCTAGGAAAGAATGGTTAATTTTCCAGGCTACTTTGAAAATTGTGCCTTTTTAAAAAAAACAGAAAAATAGTTGTGCACTATTCAAATGCTCTCAAATTAATATTGATTTAATGAAGGAAAAGGGCTGCTCTTTGTACATCAGAACTACAGGATTTTTCTGTGAATGGAAAATTTCTAATTGTCTTTATATGCAAAAATAATGTTTTTATGGAAAAATATTGTACATTGTAGATTCTTATCATTGGGCAATCTTGTTAATTATTGCTTGACAATGAAATAAAACAAAACTGGATAAGTGGGCTATTGACCAATATGCAAATAAGCAAATATGGTCACAGTTCAATTATTTGTTTTTTTGTGAAAATTGTGCAATATCCAAACATAACATAAATGAAAAGTTTATAGCAAAACAAATGAAACCACGGGGGTTGGGAGTAATGAACTCATATTTTCTTATTTGTACTTTCAGAGGCAAGAGTGCTTAAATTTAAGAAGAGTGCTTAAATTCTTGGCTAGTAATATGAGGAGATAGGGAATTAAATCTTTATGTCTCATGCCAATTTTTTAAAAAGCTAATGAGTTATTACAAAGGAAGAAAATTGTACTCTCACCCATAATTGGTGAGAAGGCTAAGAAAAATAACAGAAATCATAATAAGATGTAACCTCATTTGCTTTACAAAAATTATATGAAATCCATTGCATTATGGATAAAATGTTTAATTACTTTGCCGCCTATATGATTGTACAAATACAATTCTCATTTAGCTATTTTTAAAACTCTGTTAATTATGTAGAAAGTATAGAAGAATTAAGGTACAGCATATGAAAAGAAGGCATATTATAATATTGTTTGCATACAAAATTATAACTGGAAATATGCATTACATTCTTTTATTTCAACTTTTTATTGCCATATGTAAAGCGGGAGAATAGTATAGTTTTCTTCCTTGTCTAACTTTACATTACAATAAGGTTTCATTGCATCTCATCTACTAAGGGAAAGTGCACTTTGCAGTATCTGAATGTAATTTCCTAAATGAAGAGCAAGTTACAGTAAAAGGTATTTGTAAATAAGTAGAAATGCAAATAGGAAGAGGTTTTGTCTTCTGCCTTCTATGTAATGGTAAATGTCTAAACTGCTCACATATATATTTTTTAATTGACAAAATTGTTGGACAACTCTAGAAATAAAGATAATTAAGGATGCCCATGAATTGTAGTGGTTAAAATGTTAACAAGTCTCAAGGACTGCTGCTTTCAATTTCTCACTCAACCAATGAGCTTTCTGTTGATTTGGCGGTGATTGCCTGAGTCACCCAGTTGGCTTGGTGCCTAAGGTGGGACTAGAACTAGAACTCACAGTTTCCTGGTTTCTAGGTACACCAAACTGGCTCTCACAATTAAGATTAGCAGCATTTAAAACTCCAACTGCAACTGAGCATGCACTAGCCTCTATTTTGTACATGTTGGCCTCTCATTAATTGAATTTTGAGTCACGTTAAATCTGACTTGGTATCAACTTAAAATTTGCACTAAATAGAATATTGCATTATTCAAATACTAATCACAATCTAACCTGTATAATATTGGGTTTTAATAAGTTATTTAGATACTATCAATTCAAAACACTGGCATTTTTAAAGCAAAGATTTTGTTAAATTTTGTCCAATTGCATATTATGTCTTTTTTGTATAGCAAAGATACAAAGTGTAAAAATTACCAAAGAAATGACAAGCAACCGTTGCTTAGTACGCTGCCATTTGCCATTTGAAAATGAAACTTAGTATCTTTTGCGAGTTTCAAATGTCTCAGAAAATGTTGAATCTGTTTTCATAAGAATGTTTTATAAAAATATTTACCAATAAAAATATTTTATATTACTGTTGTTGTTGTCGTCTGCTTTTCTTTTGGCAGTTCCATTGAGCAACTTTTCAGAATGCAAAAAAATGCAGCGTGTCTCTAATTATAGGATGCAGCTGGAGGATATGTTTGTACAATTATTGTATGAGTCACAGTGTTAGTACACAGTTTAAAACAATAAGAAAAGGGGAGCTACCACTTTTATACCAGTTCTTTCTCCCAGCAAGTCCAGAATGCAGTAGTGGTAATTATGGGTGAACCACAGTCTGCCCACATAACATCTTTCCTCTGTGAGCTGCACTGGTCTCAGATGGCTTCCAGGTGCAATTCAATATGCCAGTTTTCATCTGTAAAACCCTTTGTCGCATGGGGATAGGTTACCNTACCTGAAGCATCAGCCCTCAACATTTTGGGCACCAGGGACCATTTCCATGGAGAAACATCTTTTCTGTGGACCGGAGGGGGTATGTTTTGTGTGCTGCCTGCATCCCGTGGATGGAGCTTAGCTTGTTTGTGCGGATCGGTTGCTGGCATGCCCTGGACCAGTGCTGGTCCACAGACTGGGGGTTGGGGACCCCTGATTTGAGCTATTTTCTCTCCAGTTGAATCTGCCTCTCCCAGTAAATCCAACAGGGTGGCATGCTATGAGTCCCTTCTATAAAGCAATGCCATCTGGCAGATTGCCTTCTCAGTTGCAGTGTCTGCCTTCTGGAACAGCTTACTCTGAGATTCAGATTGCCTTGACACTGCTAGCCCAGAACAGCCCAAAGCACATATTCTGCTAGAGAGAAGTTCCATGAGGATGGGCTCCAGCATGAGTCTAAAAGCTCAGAAAACTAAATTTCTGTTCCTGGTGACTGACCCAAAGTGGATCCTGAAAATAATTCTGTCCCCCACCCCTATCTAGGCCATCCTGAATGAACTCAGTGGTGGTGCAGAGGCTGGACATAAAGTAGATTCCCAGGCCTTGACTTCAGCCCTAGTGCCATTGCTGCCACTCAAAAAGCCTGCCTGGCAACATTCTCCAAATCATGCCCTTGTGGCACAGTGGTCTCCAGGATCTGCAGCATGCCACTTACCTTCAGGCAATATTCTTTTCCTGTTCAAAGGCTCAAGTAGCCTACTTTAGGCAACTCCAGGTCATGCAAGTCTTTGTTCTTGAAGCTGTTTTGGAGAATGTGGCTTTTGTAGCCTCTGGAAACTGCATGAAAGCACAGCACAATTTTGCACAATTTTTGCAGGTTTTGGAAGCCAAGTGAGAGCACACCCCATTCTTGGGAAGCCTCTGCAGCCTCCAAAAGTTGCATGAAAATGGGACATGCTTTTGAGTGGAATTGTTATTGTGTGTTGGTGAATGCTGGCATGTCACTCAACGTCATGGTGTGTCACCTTTGACATGCGTCATGCGTCGTCATCACTGGTACTACAATAGATAGCTGATCTTTTAGCTTTTTAGATGATGTCCTGCTGTTACCTGGATGCTAATGACAAAAAACATGTTCTCTTCCAATTAAAATCAGTGTAATTGTATTGCAACTAAGTTTTGAAGCTATCTTTTAACAGAGGATTCGTGCCATTAAAAATAGGTTCATTACAATCACCTGTACTGAGATTCTATTCAAAGGGCCAGATGAGAACTATTCCTTGTATAAGATCTGATGTTGAAAAGGAGTCTTTCTAAGGGAAAGGTATCTGGGTGGGGTGGAGTATTTGGAACAGCATAAGGTGGCACTCTGAGTCCATACACTAAGTTTTAATTGCACTAAATATACAGTGTTGGTCTTTTCTCTGTCATGTTTTGGATTCAGAATTTAATGGAACAATGATCTAAGCCAGGGGTAGGCAACCTTGGCTCTTTTATGACTCGTGGACTTCAACTCCCAGAATTCCTGAGCTAGCCATGCTGAGGGGAAAGGGAGAGGTTTCCAAGCTGAGCCATGCTGGCTCAGGAATTCTGGGAGTTGAAGTCCATGAGTCATAAAAGAGCCAAGGTTACCTACTCCTGATCTAAGCAAACATCAAATAGCCAGGGAAAATTTAAAAGATTAAATGATTGGAAGATGAAATTAAGCTAATATCCATATTTGAATCTGGCTTCTCACTACTATGTTCATGATATTTGTGATAATTCTCACAAATTAACAACCATAACAACCATGAGCAATGTGATAAGGTGACTTGTCCCCACTTTGCTCTCTTAGATCCTAACCAAACTTATCTAATTTATAGATATTTTTTTTGTTATTATCGGCAAATAGGCCTTTAAAAAAAGTCTGACATTTAATTAACTTCAAGAACTCTACTATTTACATTGGTTGCTTCTGAATGTTTTCTAATCCAAGTTGGAAGGAAGGAAACCTTCTAAATACTACAATATTACATATTTTGAGAGAGACAGAGAGAGCGAGAAAGAAAGACAAAGAGCAAACAATGCAAAGGAGTGCCATATATTTCTCTTGACACATTTGCACAGACTGTTTCTTTCATGGACTTAGATTCTGAGGCTTTATGGTGACATTTATTGGCGAGGGTTGCAAGTTACAAAATTTTTTAAGAGTACATTGAGTTGAGTAAGAGCAAGTCTTTTCCACAGTTTGTAGGAGTCAAATAAAATAAGTCTGGTACTACTTTATTGTAAGCATCCTATATATCTTTATGAATTAGTTGTAAAACAGACTATAAATTCCTTCGTTGATGTGAACATACCTTTCACCTGCAGTTACCTTTGACTTCTGTTATAAGAAGACATCTAGTCTTAGTAGCACAATACTGTGTCCAATGATATATTAAAAACAATTACAGCGGTATGGAATACCTTTTACCAACTTGATGGGATATTTATGGACACATCATGTTCCAACTTAATTTCCCTTTATCTTGGTCAAATTGGATGTTTTAGTTATATGTAAGTAGCCATGAAACTTTTCAATCCCATAACTTAACCTACCTATTATAAGGCAAGACAAATGAAATATAATCAATGATGGTGAAGATAATTTTTGTCTCAAAATCAAATCAACAAACAAGGGGTATTGTTTGTGGGTATTTGTTTGTTTGTTTTAATTTATTCTTAGCGCTTGACCCACAAAGCATTCTAGACTAATCACAAATGGTCTGGTTCCTCTAGGGAATGTGTCAAATTAAACATAATGTATAAATGCAGAATTCTGATAAGGTTGTTCACAATTCCTTTGACTGCAACTTATTATCAGCAAAATATTGTGGTCAGCCACGGTGAGGAGATTGCCATTAGCACAGAGTTAGCAAGCTGATTCCTGCAAACCTCTTCTTTAATGTTCATTGGGCTTTGCACCTAACTTTAAGTTTCTTTAGCATTTTAAACAATGGAGTAAATAATTTAAAAGTGGGTATGCTGCAAATCAAAACATCAACACAATCATCTTACTTTGAAGATGGTTTCATAGGATTCCAAGAAAATAAGAATAGGTTGTTGCTGCCCAGTACTTGTGTGCCATTTGGTTAAGGCAAAGAAGGACAAAAGCAAGATGGGGAGGAGGAATTGGGGGGTGGGGAAAGGTAGAACAGATCTGGTGAAAATAGAAAGGGTATTGGGGATGAACCTTATCAGTCTGTCCCCTCATAAATGTGATTCTATGATGGGCTTTATCCACCAGAACAGCTATTTGGTCATTTTATGAGAGTGACCAGGGCGATTTCCCAACAGTCTCAGTAAAACTACCAGCCTAAAAATGTTTTCTATTCTTTTTTAGAGGGAAGGAAATTGTGAGTGAAATACAGTTAACTATAAAAAAAAAAACCTTATAAAACTAACTATAAAAAAGTTTAGTTCTAATCCAGATTTTTAAGTTGAAGTTGAATCTTCATATGAAATAACAATCGGTTCCTTCCTATTAGACCTTCAATAAGTCAGACTGAATATTGCTACCTTTGAACTTTGGTGTTGGACAAGACTCTTAAGAATACCATCAATAGCCAAGAAAACAAATAAATCTATGAACAAATTAACCCAGATTCTCAATCAAGGTACAAATGATCAGATTCAAATTATCATACTTAGATAAGACCTAGCTCTCTGAAGAAGACTATAATACAGTCTGTAATGGGAAAGGTGGAAGAATAGATAAGAGGTCAAGCAGTAGTGAGGTAGAAAGACTCAATTACAGCAGATACAATACCTAGATGCATCATTGGAAGACCCAACAAATCTTCCTAGAGAAATCTGTTGATGTGATCGCTAAGAGTTTAGATTTAGAAGATGGAACATGATCTTGTAGTTTTCAGAATACACTACAATCCACAAAGAACTTGCCAATGTTTAACAGTAGTTTCTAAATGAAAGAAAAATTAATGCTGGATGTTTGCATCCATATGAGCCCTTCTGTCTCTAGTTATCTAAGGCAGTTATGTGTGTGGATTCACATCGTCACACAACAGAGATACTGAAAACATTTGCAGATAATGCCATTAGCTTTTTCTAAACATAATTTTGAATGCCTGACTGAATAATACACTTCCTCAAGTAAACAATGCCTGCGATTTCATATGGCTTGAGCTGGGACTGCTTCTTTGCTGCCTAAACAGGTTCAGAACAGAAATCAACCTAAGCCAGCAAGTTTCTGCTGGTATTACTGCGCTATTTTAGAAGTTATTCCCCAAAACAAGCACTTCTTAATATAACTGATCTAGTGATCTAGTGACCTTTGCTTAGCATCAGTTAATGTGAGATTAATTGGACTTAGAAGCTGTGTAAAGGTTAATTTTTTAAAAAATCTTGTTTCTGCACGTTTCACTGACTGATCCATAACCCTGCCCATCTGTTGGCTGATAACATCATGTTCCAGAAACTATTAAGATAAGCTGTATCTAAGAAACATCTTGTACTCATGAATGGATGGATGAATGAATGCATACATACGCGCACACACGCACACACACACACACAGAGACACATTTTAAGAGCTATACTAGGAATCAGCAATTGGGTCAATCCAAGATCATCATGGGCAGGATGACAATATCCCTGCAATCAGAGAGTAAGATTTGGTTGTGTGTATTGGTTCTCTCTTTCTTTTTCTCTTTCTCTCTCTTTGTATATGTTAAACCTAAAAGAAAAACTTATAAGACATTTTATTCTCTTATTATTTTATTATTATTTTATTTCCATTCAAAAATGGTGTGCAATTGATTTCACTGAGATTATTGAATTAGCAAACAAGTGTTTGTCATAGAGTGCAACAGGAACCCCTAACAAATTTTCTGTCCAAATGGGCAACACATTTCAATTTAAGTGAACATTGCTAGACTAAAAACAGAACAAGAAACATAAACAGTTTCTTACTGGTAGAATCTTAGAAAACATTAGTGAAGAGGAATGGAATAACTTGTAAAGCTTTTAGTAACATTCTGTTCCTACTTGAAAATAACCATGTATACATTTTTTAAAAAGTAAAGTCAAAATATTATAGCAGTGAATGCCATACTTCACTTGATGAGCTTGGATAAAGAAGCATCAAATTAAAGAATGGTGGCATTTAAGACAGAAATTGACATTGGAAGCAATCTGCAAGATTGCTAGAAACAAAAGACATAAAAGATACTATGCCCAGTTGGATTTTAAAAAGGATGGCCCAGAAGAAACAGGTTCCAATCCTTCAGGGAAAGAAAAAGGAACAAGAGAGACAAGGGAACAGAGGGGGAAAAAGATGAATGCTGGATATACTGGATATACAAAACAAGAAAAATTGGATTTACAAATGAAACCAGTTTATAATTTAACAATTAAAGAAGACACATAAATATTAAACCAGAAAAGTGTTGTGGATAACTTCTTTATCTTGGATTTACAAAAAGGACTTGTTGAAGTTATCAATGATGTCATGAGAAAAAACAGTGAATATTAATGAAGGTAACTTTATTATACTGGAATTATAAAAGGGGTTTGTTACAGATGCCAATCATTCTGGGAGAAGAGACAAGAAGATTATGAGAAGAAAGATGTGGGAACATTATTTGAAGGACTAGCAATTCATGTAAGAAAATAGAAAGAATATAAAATTGGGGGGGGGGGTTGACCAAGGTTAAAATTAATGAATTGCTATTTTGAATGATTTTTGTTTATTTGGACTAGATAATGATGTTTTTAAAGAGTGTGCTTCTTAAATTTTATAGCCACCTATCTAATCAAATGCAACTCTGGGTGGCACACAACAATTGGATAAAAACCACAGAAGTAAAAACAACAGCTATAAAAAATATAAAAATCTACATTAAGAA